TTCGCGGGGCATACAAACGACAAGATAGGATGTCAGAGGGCCAAAAAGCAACTTTTTTTCAGTGACCTGGAACGGGCCGTTCCCAAGTCCGGAACGGGCCATTCCTAAGTCTGGAACGGGCCGTTCTTGATTGGAACGGGTCGGTCCGAGGCTTCTAAAAGGCCTAAAATTTGTAGGTTAGAATGGGCCGTTCTAGACCAGAACGGACCGTTCCAAACCAATCAAAGGGGCCTAAATTTGTACCCCGGAACGGGCCGTTCTAAGGTACAAATATAACACATAACGACCATATCTAGAACGGGCCGTTCCGATTTTGGAACGGGCCGTTCTGGACCTTGTCTGAAGCCTATAAATAGAGAGCTTGGGCACATTTCTGAGGGACCCCAAAAATTTCATCCAAAGCTCCTTATAGCTTGAAATTTCTCTATTTTTCTCTCTCTTGTATTTCTTGAGATTTTGTGAGGCATTGTAGTGTGAAAGGTTGCCACAAAGCACCTATATTTTTCATATTTGAAGATCTAACAAAGCTTGCTACGAGGTATTTCATTTAATATTCTTCTCTTTCTTTTACTTCTTATTTTTTTGTCATAACAAACGCAATCATGTAGATATTTTAGGGTTAGTCGTATAATTTAATTTTTCAATATGTAAATAAATATTAATAAAGGGGATTTAATATTTAATTTATTAATTCTTATCACGTTAACTTCATCATAGGGTACCGATTGAGGGCGTTGTAGGGGTGCTTAATACCTTCCTTACACGTAACCGACCCCCGAACCCAATTCTGGTTATCAAGGCCATTATTGGATCTTTAAAAAACCTTTTCTTTTTCCAATATTTTGAGTAAAATATTGGTGGTGACTCCATGAACGTATTTTCAAAACCATTAATTAAGAATTAGTCTGGTGTCCGGACATTCCTTAATTAATGAGACTTTTAAAAGGATGTCTAAACCATAGGTCGCAAGATCGTAAATTTTTAGGTTGCGACACACCTCTTGTTGCAACTCCACAACACGCACAAGATCTGCTTGAGCAAATCTTTCCCTTAGGTCTTTCCAAACATCAACAACAAGTTCAATGTATACAATGCTCTGTGCTATCGAAGGAGAAACTGAGTTTAAGATCCATGAATGAACAATGTTATTACACCTTTCCCAAGCATTAAAAATTGGATCGGATTGATCTGGAACATCTATGGAACCATCAAGAAATCTGTACTTATTCTTGGAAATCATCGCTCTCTTCATCAATCTTGCCCATCCATGGTAATTGTTATTGTTAAACGGTGGATTCACAAGAACTGCAGTAGGATTTTCTCCCGGATGAATATAATACGGACTCGCGGGATTCTGCGGGTCCATTGATGCCAACAGTAATCGATCTTGAACTGTTTCTTGTCACGGTGAAGAACGCGCATCAAAGCTCTATGATACCATATTATTTATCAGAGAAAAGGAATAAGAACAAACAGAGAGAAAACTGAATCATAATAGGTTTCTGTTATATTTCAATATGTATTCTGTAATGAGCTTATATACATGGGAGTAAAACTGTACTAACAGAAAAATAACCATCTAATAATAAGGACGTAGTTATTTAGTTGGTAACAATAGGGAATGTGAAAATAAGTGATGCTATTTAGTTGAGGAAAAATAAAGAGAATGAAAAATTAAAAAGTGATGAGTCTTACACTAGTGGAAAATCAGCATATTACGTCACCCCTTTTACGTCAGAAATACGAAAATCTGACGTAAAAAAAACGCGGTGGCATTTTTGTAAATTTTGCGAACTTTTTTACGTTAGACCTGGTAGGGTCTGTCGTAAAAAGTCCAATCTACGTCGGAGATGTGTTGTGTCCGACGTAGATTGTACTTTTTACGTCGGACCCTACCAGGTCCGACGTAAAAAAGGACGTAAATTTGAATAAGAGAGCCCGAGGCACACCGCGCGCATTCACTCTTCATCACTTTTCATTTTTTTCTCTCTAAACCCTCTCCCTCTCCTTTGTTACTAAATCGTTTTTTGTCTTTTGCAGAGGGATGAACTCGTTGTTACTCATTTGCACATTGTTGCTGCTCCTCAGGTGTGAATCAAGGTTTCGTTAGCACTTTTCTACTTTGCATTACTACTCTGGCTATCTGTTTTATTTGATTTTTTGGTTGTTCTAGGTAGTGGGCGTTTTCTTTTGGGTTGTTATACGAAGCAGAACGGCTTGTTCTGCAAGCAGAACGGGCCGTTCTACTGGGATTTTTATGTTTTTTTTAATATTTTTTTTCCTACTTTTTTACGTCGGATGTAGTAATGTCCGACGTAAATTTACGTCGATTTTGCAGATCCGACGTAAAATTTACGTCTCCCGCTTTTACGTAGGTATATTTTCTGACGTAAAAAGTTCAAAATATCAGACGCAGTACACCTCTTTTGTATTAGTGTTACCTTTTCATTTATTTATATTTATTTATTTATTTCTCTTTTTTCATATATATATATATCTTATTTTTTATATATATATTTTTAACTATTTTTTATTTATTTTTCTTAAATTAAACAATTAAATTGTTATTTATTTATTTATTTATTTATTTTACATAATTTTACTTACTTTTTACTTTTCTATATTTTTTTTTATTTCTTTTTTCTGTATCAAACACACACAGAAATGTCGAATTGCTTAAAAAAGACCTCAATCATTTTTGGAAAGCAATACCAGAGTCCAGAGACTACGTAGGGTGTCCAGAGAGATGTCTCGCAAAAGGAGAAAAGATAATTCATCGGATAGATTACTTTAATAAAAACGAACAAGTTGACGTGTCACATCAGATTTTATAAAAAAAATAATATTAATTTGCCCCCACCATATATGGTGCACAAGAATTTAATTGTTCTGATTTAAAAAGAATATAGAGGATTTTCATTCACTGTCCGTTCCTCCCGTAGCTTCAAAAATCCGGTAGAACCAGTTAAACCGGGGATGGTAATATAATCGATTTGAATCTTAATTTCGATTAATTATATATTTAATTTATTTTAAATTGGTGTGAATTAATTTAATAATTTTATCAAACATAATCATAATTCCTTATTTTAATGTATTTGATTGTAATATATATAATTTAAATAATTTTTTTTATAGTATATTATTAATTTTAAATTATATATTTAATAATATAATATTTATATAAATATTATAAATTACTTTATGATATTAATTACAAATATATTATATATATATATTATTTATATTTTTAATTTATATTAATATAAAATTTAA